CGGAGTGATGGAGGTTAACAGGTACTAATGAATTTGCAAGAAATGAAAGATGTTTATTTTATTGGTTATATATAACCAATAAAGGTTTAATAAGTACCTACCTATTTGCAAAATAAAGTTTAATTCTTTAGATAAAATAAAACGTTTTATTTTATCTGAAATCAGTGCATTCCACGAAGTAAGGGTTTCAACAATCAAACATTTAATTCTTTAATTCCAGGAATCTACGACAGTAATTGACTAGATAATTACCTTCTAAACTTATTCCACAGAAAATGTGATAGTGGGTTTTTCCATTTTGTAGGAAGGTCCAAGTGGCGTATTCAAAATTCTTAACAGTTCACTAAAAGTAGGTACTTCAGTTGCAAGGTGCAGTTTATTGTGTATACTAGTGTTATGGAAAATTTGGAAGTGCCGTGTAAACGCCGGAAAATTGGCTCCTTTAACAGTTATTGAAAAAACATTAATATTTAATTGTTTTAAATCATTTACAGACAAACGTTTATGTGAAAGTGTTGATGAGACCGTTGACTTAGTAAGCAGTACACTTGGTGTTGGGAAATCTACGATTTACAGAGTTATTAAAGAAGAGAAATGTCGTAGTTTTCAAATGCCATGTAATGCTCCAGGAAAACCAAAATTTCAAATAGAATATCATTTTAAAGAAGGACTTCGACAGAAAGTGCATGAATTCTTCTTTAGACAAGAATTTCCAACATTGGATAAAGTTCTTGTCTCAGTTCGAGATGATAAGGATACCATAGAAATGAGTCGAAGTACGTTATGGAAACTTTTAAAAGAAATAGGCTTCCGCTGGAAAAAGAAACCCAGAAAGTCTATTTTATTAGAAAGAAGCGATATTGTCATATGGAGAAGACATTTTCTAAGAACCATAAAGGAAATGAGAAACCAAAAAAGAAAAATATTTTATCTTGATGAAACATAGATCAACGAGGGTCATACACCAAATCAATTTTGGCAGGATGAAACTGTTACAAGTCAAAGGTACGCTTTTGTAAATAACTTATCTACTGGTGTAAACCCACCATCAGGAAAGGGACGCAGGCTGATAATAGTACACATTGGCAGTTCAGACGGTTTTGTTGAAGGTGGTTTATTAACTTTTGAATCAACTCGTACCGGTGACTACCATGAAGACATGAACACTGATGTCTTTCAAGAATGGTTCGAACAAATGATATATCTTCTTCCTAAGAACTGTGTAATAGCAATGGATAATGCAAGTTATTACTCCAGACTTATAGAAGGACTGCCCACAACCAAGTGGTTAAAAAAAGACTTGCAGAATTGGCTGAGTTCAAAAAATATTACGTACCATCCCGGATCTATAAGAAAGGAACTTTATTCGTTGTGTGCCCTTCATAAAGAAAAATTTAAAAAATACCAAATTGATGAAATTGCCAAAAATCGTGAAATGACAGTACTTAGATCCCCACCATATCATTGTGAATTAAACCCGATTGAACTGGTATGGGCACAGATAAAGAGTGAAATTTCAAGAAAAAATACCACTTTTAAAATTCATGATGTTAAACAGTTGTTTTTGGAGGCCGTAAATAATGTAAAACCTGAAAACTGGGAAAAGGCAGTAAATCACACTATTAAAGAAGAGGAAAAAATGTGGAAGCTGGACAATATTACTGATAAAATGATCGAGCCAATTAATATAAATCTTGGTTCTGAAAGTTCATCTTCTGAATCTGATTTGGATTTGTAACAAGTAGCTGTAAGTTTTATATTAATATTTTTATTCATCTATTTAACACTTCAGCGCGCCGTCTAGCGGTTTAAAAACTCTTTTTCTCTTTTGTAATTTTTAAAAATTAAAAAAAAATGTGAATTTTTTCAAACCCTTTTTAATGTAGGCCAGTCAGTTCTAATATAGTGTGTGATAAAAGAGGTCACTTTTGTTTACATACACATAACACTTTATAACACTGAAATAATTCATTTATTTTTTACAATTATTCAAAGTAATTTTTCAATTAATCTTGAGCACGCCCATGGAGTGGTCGGAGGTACCAGTTAAAATTATGCTAATTACTCTCTCGTTCATAAAAATAAACTATAGTAGTAATGAATCGCATAAGATTCACTGCCTCGTTTACAATTGGTAAATTAGGAGCCATACTTTTTCGACCACTGGACTTCACAATGTTAATTAAATTTGATTTAGATTGAGATTGAGCTGTTGTTCCAACCTCATTTTCGGAACTATCAATGCTCTGTTCCAATACTTGTAGCGACTCTTCTCCATCGTCTGTTTCTACTTGTTGTGAGTCTTCTTCCTTTCGTTTTCGTTTACCCTGAAACAAAATATTAGTTTCTAAATTAATAAACTTTTTTGATTTGCTATTTATAGTTCGTTCGTCTGTTTATGGTATGTAATTTTTATTTTCAGATGACTAAAACTAACGAAAGTTGGTACTTTATAGCCAAGCAGTTCAACGACAAATGGAATTTTCCAAATTGTATCGGAGCTATGTATGGCAAACATATATCCTTACAAGCTCCTATAAATTCAGGAACAGATTTTTTCTCTACAAGAGCTTCTTTATCATTGTCTTGTGAACTGTTGTAGATGCAGATTATAATTTTATATATGCACATGTGGGATGTCAGGGACGAATATCGGACGGGGGCGTATTCAACGATTCATATTTCAAAGAGTTCCCTGAAAAAAATACCCTAAACCTTCCACCTGCTTGTTCATTACTATGATGAAACACTTATATTTCATTTGTTGTTGTGGCGGATGACGCATTCCCACTATCAACAAACATAATGAAGCCATTTGCAGGACATCTAGAGAAAGGTTCAAAAAATAGAATATTTAACTATCGAGTAAGTCGCGCACGAAGAGTGTCAGAAAATGCTTTTGGCATTTTAAGTGCTGTTTGTCGAGTGCTTCGTAGGCCCATATTGTTGGAACCAGAAACTGCAACGAACGTAGTTTTGGCCTTATTTCACCTACACAATTTCTTGCAAAAAAAACACTTCAAGAAATCTTTACACTCCACCTGGAATGATTGATGTAGTATGTTCGGATACTGGAGCAATTAATCCTGGGCTTTGGAAATGAAATGCTTCCTCTAATGAATTGCTTAATTTTGACAGAAGAGCAAGAAGGAGTGGAGCTGCGGCACAAAATGTGAGAAACGAATTGGCTGAATTCTTCATTTCTTAAGAAGGAGCATTGCCTTTCAATATGATAAATGAAATACAATATACCAACATGATTACATCAATATTGTCACATTTATGTATAAATACGAACTTAATTATTAAGAATGAATAAAGTATTTACTATAGTGTAAATATGATATACATACCTCTGAATCTTGCTTTACAATAGGCTTTTTCTTCAGAAATTCCATTAACTTATACGCAAACCATTTACTTTTGTAAGTTTCTTCGTTTCCATTGTCACTTTCTTCTGAATCTTTCTCTTTTTTTTACTTTCCGTGCAAAGTGACTTAAGAGATATCTAATACTTTTTCGATTTCCTCTTATTTGTTTTGTTCCTGTCTTTATTAGCCATCTGCCAATCTGTTGTTCCACAGAACGGGGCGCTCATGATACATTTCAAGTAGGTTTTGTGTATTTTCTTTATTCTACTCCATTTCTTGAATAACAATAAAGCCCGCAATTATTGTGAATCAACAGACCACGAGATGTCTTCGTGATTAAGCTCAATTGCACTGATTCCTCACTGAATGCTGACGAGGATTGCTCACATACAAACGTACACACTACACTGATTAATACGGTTCTCTTTCATCGAGACCGCCATCAATCGGTTTCGGTTTTGGAATCAGTTCGGCTTTTGACCCCGAACCCAAGCCGCAATTGCGTCCGTACTACATGTGGCTTTGCCGATCGGCAAGACATAATGTGGATGCACCTTTAAAGATCAAGGTATTTATACAAGCAGGAATAGAGGTGGACTATTCCAGATTATTCTATATCTCTTATCTGATATTATTTAAGTTAGTTAACAAGATAGTGTTGAACTGTAGGCTAAAATATCTTCGGAGTTAACAAAGTGTGTCTAAACAATATTAGATAGGCTGGCGGTGCAGTAGTTTTTGCAGATAGTTTAGATGGTTTGCAAATAATATTGTCGCGCATATCTGATATAAGTAGGAGCATGAACTTGATCTTAATACGAAAAGAACAAATTACATGGTAGTCATTAAGCTTTTAGTTAACTAACAACCAATTGACCAAGTAAACAGCTATACATACTTTGGTAATAACATAAACAGCCAATGTTACCACTCTACTGAAATAAAACAACGCATAGAAAAAGCAAGATTATCGGTCGTAAAGACGAAATCGCTTTTGAGAAGTCACGATTTACCACTTGACACCAAAATCTCTATCATCAGATGAGATTTATTATATTCTCCGTTGTTATATGGAGTAGAAATCTGGACACTATATGAAGCATCTTTAAAAAAGCTCGAGGTCTTCGAGAATGTGGTGTTACAGACGCATCTTCATGGGTGGATCATGTGACTAATATTGAGATTCGATGATATTCTACGTAGAATGGATAATGATTGTGAGATTATTAACACAATCAAAGAGTACACATTATAAATAATTAATAATTATATTGTTTTTGCCTTCTAAAATTTAGTTTTATTTTCAATCTATTATAAGGCCGAATGAGATGGGAACATCTTATTTTTATTAAAACTTGGACCAGAAACTATCAATCTTAAAAAAAAATTCGAAAGGAAAAAATCCAAAACTATTTTAAACTACTATTGTCTAAATGTCTACATAATAGTAATTATATGCCATAATCAAGTATGGCACATTCCATAGGATATTTATTTCCCTATAATATCCATTGTAGACTCATTATATATTCATTAAGTAGTAATTTTCTAAAATCATTTTTTTTTAATTATTAACCATAAATCACTATAAATACGGTGTAAGATTAAAAATATACACATAGTGTGAAGATGAAGATGTTTTTGAAAGATTTCGGAGTTGTTTTGTGTTTAGTTGTAACGACTGCTCGATTTTCATCCGCAGGTGAGTACCTTTTGTCAACAAAAAACTTTACCAAAGCATACCATAAAAATTAAAACGTCAAATTATCAAATGCTACATGTAAAATGTAATTTTCATGCAACAAATCGTGGTTTTAATCGGTAATAAATTCACAAATGAAGTTCTCGTTAACATAAGTTCATGCAAAAAATTTTATTTTTACTTTTAGACCAAATGCGCTACATGCAGTGCCGGCGATAACTTGCCTGTAAGGGATGCGCTGAATCCCTTGCAGGCTAGTTATCGCCGACAGGCAAAAGATGCGCATCTGTTTTGTGCCAAAATAAACTTTTTTTTCTGCTAGTCTTATACAAAATACTAATATCGAAAAATTATTTTTTTAAATGCTGAAAAATTAATTTTTGCATACCACACGTAAAGCACAGAATCCTACTGTGTTGTGTATATACACGAATATAATTTATTAGTAAATATATTATGTGTCAAAAAACAGACTCATGAATCTTGAAAGTATCGAATATTAATGAGAGCTGGGATCCAACTGTAAAAATTAAAATTCGAAAAGAATGGTCCCCAGCTACATTTGTAAAGTGAGGTACTTACTTTGCAGCCAGGATCTAAGTACCGAACTTTACATTTGAATGACGTATTGCTATATCTTTTCAGTGCTACTGTAAAGTCGTGAATTCTAAGTGAGCCTGCGCTTAAACACATTAAAAGCCGTAGACACTAGGTCGACAGAATATAAGAAATGAGGAAGGCCTTAGGCGACTGAATCAAACAACACAACCAAAGAATATAACAAAAAGACATAAACTAAAATACTTCTGTTCCAATCGAATAAAATATGATTTTTTTGCATCTAATTATGCAGAGAAAGATCCAAGGTATACGAGGTCCTGGTAGAAGAAGAACATTATGGCTCAAAAATCTGAGACAATGGTATGGGAAAATCGACTATAATTATTTAGAGCTGCTGTCAATACAATCATAATAGCGAATGTGGTAGCCAATATAATATTCAACGATCGAAAATAATCATGGAACTAGAAAGAGAAGAATACATCTCTTTCTGATGTTGCTTGAGTTGATATTTATCATCATCACTGTGCTACAGCCCTCAAAGGGCTCGACCTTCTCAAGCTTTCTGTGCTATTCTACTCAGTAGCTTGCTTAGATTTTTCAGTTGGCAACACCGATTTTCTTATCATTCTGTGTTACCCCGTCTATCCACCTGAGCTTTGGTCTGCCTCGTCTTCCTAGACTGCACCGGCTACGCTGTTAAACTATATTTTATTTTGTTTGATTCCGGGACCCGGAGTTAATATTATGCTACTTAAAAAATTTATATTCTTCTCACTGCTTTACTTGTCTTAAATGTAGGTCTGCGTCTTCTGTGTTCCCCTATTCTTAGATACTTAGTTTTTCATATATTTATATTCAAACCCAAAAGTTAATATAATTTTTTTATGCTTTTGTAGCTTGTAAATCAATATCTTTACAGTTAGCAGTAATAACCAGATTATCTGCAAAAAAACGGCGTTTCCATGCAGTAAGCAACACCACTGCTTAATGTCCTTTGTCACCTTAACGGTTCTGAAATTTTTTAACCAGTCTGTATTATATATATATATATATATATATAATATATATATATATATATATAATATATATATATATATATATATATTATATATATATATATATATATATTTATATATATATATATATATATATATATATATATATATATATATTTATATATATATATATATATATATATATATATATATATATATATATATTTATAATATATATATATATATATATATATATATATATATATCTATATACATACATATTTACTTAGGTCTAACTACAATTTACTAGGTCCAAACATATTAAATAGCTTCTTCAAGGGCACAGCTTGGTCAGCCTTTTCCGGATCTACGATAAAAGACCACTAGATTTCAATATTTATATTTTTTATTACCTGTTGAAGAAAAAACTTATTAGCCGTGTACGATCTTACTGCTCGAAAACCATTTTGCTCCTTTATTTCGTTATACTTTGATTGAATATTCTCTTATATATATATATAATATATATATATATATATATATATATATATATATATATTTATATATATATATATATATATATATATATATATTTATATATATATATATATACTATATATATATATATTATAATATATATATATATATATATATATTTTATATATATATATATATATAATATATATATATATATATATATATTTATATATATATATATATATATATATATATATATATATATATATATATATATATATATCTATATACATACATATTTACTTAGGTCTACTACAATTTACTAGGTCCAAACATATTAAATAGCTTCTTCAAGGGCACAGCTTGGTCAGCCTTTTCCGGATCTACGATAAAAGACCACTAGATTTCAATATTTATATTTTTTATTACCTGTTGAAGAAAAAACTTATTAGCCGTGTACGATCTTACTGCTCGAAAACCATTTTGCTCCTTTATTTCGTTATACTTTGATTGAATATTCTCTTTATTATTTATCCGTACAATTTCTCTATTGAATTGGTTTTGCTAATTCCTCTGTAGTCTCACAAATCTTTCTCTCAATTTTTTTTTGTTGAATAATCTTATATATGATACGTTCCAGTTTGATAAGATTTCGATTAAAATGTCAGCTGTATATTTTACCACTTCAATAGAAATATTTTCTGACCCCGGAGATCCTTAATTTTTCATTCCCCTTCTTCTTCTCGATGTGCTTATTAAACCAGATTCTGAGGTTCTTTAACCAAGATGTTCTTCTTCTTCCTGGACCTCGCTTTCCTAATATTTTTCCTTGTAGGATGGCTTGAAGGAGACCATATCTAAATTCATTTCGCATAATATGTCCGAGGAATTGTAACTTTTGAGATTTAATGGTGGTCAGTACCTCTCGATTCTTATTCACTCTTCTGAGGACCTCCTCATTTGTGACTCGGTCAGTCCAAGGGATCTTAAGTATTCTCCGATTTAGCCACATCTCAAATGCTTTTAGTTTTTTGCACATATCTTCGTTCAAGGTCCATAATTCACCACCATAAAAAAGAACAGAGAAGACGTAGCATCACAGCATTCTTACTTTTTGTATCAAGACAGGGGTTGTGAGTCTGGAAAAAGACTCCATCCGATTGAAGGTGGATCTAGCTTTTGCGATGCGTGCTCTAATCTTCTGGTTGTTGGTCCGTTCTTCATTTATTATGGTGCCGAGGTAGTTTTAGTGCGTCACTCTTTCTACAGGAGATTGGTTGACGTACAGTTGACGTTCTGTTTCCTTTTCTTGCTAATTATCATAAACTTTGTCTTTTTAAATTTATTCTTAGTCTCATTCCTCTTAACATAACTTTAATCTCATCTAACGTTATTTTTCTCAATCCTTCTTATTAATTCCATGGTTCCATCTTTTATTTATTTTTTAATTATTTATGGTCTTCCACGTCTATGAAAAACTTGTTCCTTCCTTAAATATTTTTATTATCATCATCATCATCATCTTGGTGCTACAGCCAAGAGCCTCGATCTTCTTAAGCTTTCTACGCCATTCTGCTCTGTCCCTTGCTTGCCTTTTCCAGCGATCTTCTCGGCTTCTTGTGTTACCCCGTCCATCCACCTCAGCTTTGGTCTACCCTGTCTTCTCATTCCCACAGATTGTGCTGTTAGAATCTTTTCCATCATGTTCGATTCATGGGCCCGGGCTACATGTTCTGCCCACTGCAGGCGGTTTCGCTTAATAATAGTGGTAATATCCTTACCACCAAACGTATGCTTGTAGATATTCTGCAGTTTAAAGTTATATCTACGCCTCCATATTCCGTTCTCACAGACTGCTCCGAATATCTTGTGTAGCACCTTTCTTTCAAAAATTTGTAGAGCAGATTCATCTGTTTTAGTTAGCGTCCATGCCTCTGATCCATATGTGAGAACGGGGACTATCAGTGTTCTATGCAGCCTTATACGAGTTTTTTGAGGCAGACGTTTGTTAGCTAAGTACTTTGATAGACCATGATAACACTTGTTCGAAATTATTATTCACCTTTTTATTTGCTCAGATGTGTTATTATTGGCGTTAACCGATGTCCCTAGATATATGAACTCTTTGACTGCTTCGAAGTTTTGGTCATTGATGATTAAATTTGCGTCAACATTTCCAGCTCTTATGTTTGTGTTAGTCGCCATGAATTTGGTTTTATTTTGATTTATATGTAACTATTTTCGTTCTGCTGCTGCTACTAGCTCGGTTAGGATTTCCGCAGTTCTCGCCCTGGTTCTTGTTATAATGTCTAAATATTTTTATCTTATCATATAATATTTAACTACTACTACTACTACTTGTCGGTTTATACCGATCTTCGCTGTTTTCCGACTTCCAATCGCCACTTAGTCCGGTTGTTCCATAGGTTTTCTTGTATGGTCCTCTCTCTCAGTTCTTTTTTTATTCCTTTGCTCCAACTTTTTCTCGGTCTACTTCGTTTTCTCTTTCCTTCTGGTTGCCATTTTAATAGTTCTTTTGGTATTCATTCTTCATCCATTCTTTGTACGTGTCCGAACCAAATAAGTTGTTTTGTTGCTAGGTCATCTGTGATTGTTCGTTTAATTTCCATTATTTCTCTAATCTCTCTCTCTCTCTCTCTCTCTCTCCTCAATCCTGACCCCCCAGGGGGAGTGTAGTGGTCGACGTGATGTCGTGTATTGTCCGTCTCCAGAGATCTCTGTCTCTGGTCATTTCTTTTAATTTATGCATAGGTCTTTGGCATATTCCTGTAATTTGATCTATCCATCTTGTTGGGGATCTTCCTCGTGATCTTCGGCCTTCTACCTTTCCTTGTATTATGAGTCTTTCCATGTTTTTCTAATGCGTTCGTTGGTAATCGTTTGTCTTCTAGATTTTCCTACTGCCCTTCTCCAAAAATCCATTTCCGTCACTTTCAGCGTTGC